AATTACTAAATATTCAATACTTAGACACAGTTGATTGTACATAACCTATGTGGAACTTCGGAGAACCGAATTCTGAGTAAGTACTTAGTAACAAATAATTCCATGGAAATTTCTTCCAGGAAATCAAGTATATACCTGAAGAAATACTGTACAAAGAAAACAAGAGAGCTGCAACACTGGTTATGAAACAAATGCAGGAACAGTGACTGTAAAATCAAAACACATGCCAAGTGCACTAGATAAAATCACCACAACAAGTTTTCTTTAACCCTCAGTCACGTGCTGCTTGTGTGTAAACGCAACGTATCAGTTATCTGGGGACAAAGCAATTTACAAAGCATTTAGTAATAATGATCATATGTTCCTTAATCTGATATTATAAAACAGGGCCTTTTGCATTCTTACACTTTCCTTTCAAAACATTCTACAATAATGTTTACAAAACAGATCCTCAGGGTTACACACAGAACTTGGTGTCTTAAACTTTTTGAACTCCGGTGCCCTTCCTGATCATCTTTTGCAATGCCAAATTCCGTGGGCAGAAAAGAAAGTTTCAGTCTCCATGCACAGTTCCTGCTCTCTCTACTATGAGCTTTGGGCCTCTAAAAAATCCTTCCCCTCCAGTCATTTGGAGAATGACAACCTTGAGTCCCATGAAGATCTGTTTACGCCACCATTCTTTGACCCAATGGAATGGCCGTATTCATCCTAACCTGCATAATATTTCTTGCTTTATTTCAATGTCTGAATTATTTGCTCATGTTCTTGCTTTGTTCTGCATCACCCAGAATCTTGCAATTGGGACTGGCTGCACATGCTCCATAATCAATCAATCAGTTGAAGAACTGGAGCCAATCATTATCCATGGCTCTCTAAAATCTTATCATTCACTCCTGAAGTTATGAAATGCCTTTTAAAGTTGATCAAACCAATATATATGAAATGAAGAGCCTAACTTGTATGGTGTTAATAGGGAGAATGCTATGTTCAAATGTTCCCTAAATTGATTCCCCTAAACATCCACTGGTGGGCTGCAACCGGTTTAACAATCAGTTCTGTAAGCACACATGCGCCTAACGCACTTGTGCGCAGGGTTCAAAATACAGCAATTTGAAGCTTAGCTGCTTGCATTTTAAGGCAGCCCCGCCCGGTAAGTAGAGCAATGAAGATGCAAAAATCAGCTGTGTTGCGCGAATCAGCTGAGCCAGAAAGAAGGAAATATAGGACAGGATCGGATGGGGATGGGTGGGTGGGGCCAGCTGATCATCAGAACTACCAGTTCGCCAGAACAGGTCCGAACTGGCAGCAGCCCACCACTGGGAAAATCCCTAAAACCATTCCTATACAGAAGGGACTAGAATATTAGGGAGAAAGTTAGTGGCAGTTCCTGATTAGTAAGTGATTGCAGCAGTAATATACTGTATATTTTCATGAAACACAAGATTCTTTTCACCATCATAATTAATACTACCAGGAGCTATCTATGAGAGAAAAGAAAAAGGTAAGATGATAACTATGACTGCATGATCAAAGATCCATTTTTTTACATATAAGCACATATTACATATAAAAAGGAGTAGGCTTTGATTGTGTGGAGGCATCTTGGCTTTTTTGACCTTCCCTGCAGAATCTTACATCCCAGCAAGCTACAGCAAATAATTACTCAGAACACATGATGAGATAGAAAAAAACACATGATGAAGCCCATCCTGATAAATTAGATTTCAGATCTAAAATGGGTTCATAAACCCTTAGCTGCTTTAATAAATTTGGCAGTACCTATTACATAAGACAACATTATCTGAGTGTGTGCAATTCACTCTGTTGATATGGATGATTACCAACATTAATGGGTAATAAGTCATTAAAGGTAACGATAGACTGCATTGGCCTCTGCACCAGTGGCAAAGTCCACAGTAGAATTTGTGCCAAGTTAGTTGGTTAATCATTTATACTCCATTACTAGCAAGGAACAAGCACATTGCCTTTCAGTTATAGCAACCTTTGGGTCATACTTTGAGATGAGTGGGATACTCTTTTCACAATGAGGCTCAATGTTTTTGTGGAACACACAAATCCTAGCCTAGCTGTCTTCTCTTAAGATGCCATGAGCTAATGGCTTCCCCCATCCTTGCTGTTTGTTCTAAACTAGCGTTTCCTAGCTTGAGTAATTTTCATATGGGTGGACTTCAACTCCCAGAATCCCCTATGCAAGTTGGGGGTCACTTTTTAAAAATCCAACGTATGATTTTTTTTTTTTTCATATTTGCTTCTCTGTAGCTTGCTGAACATACATGGCTGTATGCAAAGCTGGTTGATGTCATTTGGGTTTATGTTGTTTCAGTTCATTTACTTTTTGTCAAAACAAGATCTTAGACTGACTGTGCTTTTTTTACATATGTTATCTGAAAGATTGTACTGGAAGGGACCTTCTTTAACAGGAGCAAGTGTGTGAGGTTCCATGCTGTACTGTAATCTTCTATATGGCTGCTTGTCTCATTCCTTAATAAGAAAGCTGTTGAGCCCATGATACTCACATTTATTTATTTGCTTGCTCAATTTATGTAACTCCCCACCTCAAATGCATTACAGGTAATCCTCGATTTACAACCACTATTGAGCTCAAAATTTTTGTTGCTAAGTGAGATACTTGTTAAGTGAGTTTTGCCTCATTTTATGACTTTTCTTGCCACAGTTGTTAAGTGAATTATTGCAGTTGTTAATTTAGTGACACGACTGTTAAATGAATGTGGCTTCCCCATTGACTTTGCTTGTCAGAAGTTTGCAAAAGTTGATCACATGACCCTGGGACATTGCAATTGTCATAAATATGAGTCAGTTGCCAAGCACCTGAATTTTAATCACAACTGTGGGGATGCTGCAATGGTCATAAGTCACTTTTTTCAGTGCCATTGTAAGTTCAATTGGTCATTAAACAAACTGTTGTATGTCAAGGACTACCTGTACTCTGTGCCCAGTTATGAAAGTATATCATTGAGCAAAAACTAACCAGCAAAGGGGAAAAATGCAAACATGATAGGGAAAATACTCACAACAATCACTATCAGGAACGACCAACAAATTAGGTGCAGCAGACACTATGAAAATATAATTTGCATTATAGAATCTAACTTCCACTTGATAGTGAGTCAAAACTAGTTTTATCCAATTATCACCATCTGACCAAATAACGTTCGTAAACTACAGTAATATCTTTGCTTTCTTTCCTGTATTAACCCACCAACCTATGAAATATCATTGAAGTACCTTATATAGGCAAAGCTGGCTTAGAATTACCGTAAGTCAGATGCTATCTCTGATGTCTCAGGCCTCAAATGAGAAAATATTGGGACAAATTTTTGAGCCAATTCAATAATTTGAAATATCCATCGGTTCTCGTCACAAAAAGCAACTTTTTGTATCTGAGGGTTGCACAATTTACTTTGAGAATGAGCATCCCAGTCAGTAAGATTTAATATTATGGGTGCAGCAAATATAACATATATGTCTTCTTAAAAACTACCATAACCTTTGGTTTGGATTCTATCTGTCTTATGTTTTCTCAGTATGCAGGAACAATCTTCTGCTGGTATTTGCCAAATACAGTGAAAGAAGCCTCTGAGGATTACAACATGATTATTCTACCTGTGATGCAGTAAGGATCTTCTCCAGGTTTTTATTTATTTATTTATTTTTGCAGTATCTTGAACTCTTTCCTGCACACCATTTCCTTTTGTGATCTTGGCTCCCAATACGCTGTTCCAGGGCAGAGATGGGCAAAACTGTTCTTTTCAACCTCAGCACCTTCTCAGATTAAGGTTGTTGCAAACCGACCGTGTGGTAAACAAAGGAGAACAAGTGTAAATCCTAAAATAGACATGTCACCATTCAAAACCAAAGCAAATATCCAAATTCTCTTTAAACTCTGCCCGATCTGTGTGATATATTCCCATGCACTTTCCAACATTCAACCCTTATCCACGATAAATGTGTCCCTGGGCAACTCTGTATTAAAGTACAGGTGGGGAACTTCATTGGACAAGGGCCATACTTCAGGGGTGGAGTAGTTTGTTTGTTTTTTAAGTGTTTTATTTGTTTACATCTCAGAAGCCCACTGATGATGTAACTGCTTTTGGTTTTGGGAGTCTGAGAGATTTAAAAGACAAACACTATGTCCACACCAAACACTGTGTGTACCCTCACAAGACTCAAGCCATATGTATAAAAGAGCACTCCTGAAACCAGTAATCTGAATGGTTAGAAAAATGAGGAAACAGGCTAATGGGTCAGACGGGATTTGTGATTCTTCACCTCCTTTTTTACTTTAATAAACAATGACATGGAATCAAAAACCACATCCTAGAAAATCAAGTTGCTAATATAATTTAGAAGATGACGGCAGCCAAAGTAGATATGATTGTATCAGTAATTCCTCCTTCACTATATTTATTTTCATCATCTTCTTCATCATCATCATCAGGGTACCTAAAAGTTAACCTACATATTGGGTTAATATCTTCCTTGCCATGGTGAAAGATGCAACTGACAAAACACATTTCTCCTGTTTGGACTAAAGCACTATAATGTAACCCCAGATCCACACCCTTCTAAGCCCAATGAGACATCAACAGTCATATGACACCCAAAGGTTAAATAAGGTGCCAGTTGAGAGCAAAAGGCATCTCAATAAAAATTGCAGAGCTAATCTAAAACCAAACACTTCTTTTCCTTTTCCTTTTGGGGTTCGCATCTGACTTTCTTTGATTATCCCTCCTAAATTTTTAGGAAACTGGAGAAATTATTTGGAACAATGCTACATCAGTTCTAAAGAACCACTTCTCCTATTTGGGAGCGCTGTATTCCATATTTCAGAACATTAGTCATCCTGTGGTTGCAAAGTTATAGTTTTCTCACAGACTCACAATAGGACAAAAAAATCAGCTAGTGATTGCAAAATGTTTCTTTTCACTACATACGCATGTTGCAATTTTGACATCCCACTGTTTTATAGTAACTTTATTAAAAATTACAATTTAAAATGCTGCAAAGAGAATTAAAAGAAAAAATAGATGGTGTAGAAAAAAAAAGAAAAGTGGAAAAGAAGGAAAAAGTAAGAATACACAATACAGGTAGTCTTCAACTTACAATTGGCAGCTTAGCAACCATTCAAAGATACAATGAACCCCAAAATTGAGATTTATAACTTGCTTTTGAAGTTCTGCCCTATCCCATGGTCACATGACTGCATTTTTGCCACTTCCAGCCCCCTGCAATCATGTGATTGCAATTTATGTTTTTGCTGGAAACCAGTATTTATTTCTGGTTTCCAGCAAATATTGCCCCATGGCAAAAAATGTGTTTGCTTTATGACATGTATTTTAAATTTCTTTTGCTAAGGACTGAAGGATGCTGTAAAACCTGTCAATCCAAAGGTCCCTGATAACTGAGAAGCAATTAACGATTTCCCAGTGATTAGAAAAGAGAGTACGCAAACCTAATGCCTTTTTGAAGGTGCCAACCATGATTTCAGCTAAAAGATGGCTAGTCTCATCTCCCAGAGCTATAAACTGTCTTGTGGTCTCCTGCAAGGAGCAACTGTCTGGAGCACCTGTTGACAATCTCAAGTCCTCTTCTTATTTGGACAAGAATTATAAAGAATCAGTTTATTTTCCAGCTCTTCATTCCACTGCAGTCATTTTCAGTTTCTCATTACTTTCCCAGAAATTGACATTCGACTGTTCAAGGCACAATTGACAAGAACTGTATGTCCTGGAAAAAAGGGATACAAGTTTACACTATGAAATTTCATATGCTTAAACATGCATAATAACTACATACAATTAACATGTACATGTTGCTTGGTCATTGAGGCATTTCAGTGTTTTCAAATGAGCAACTGAAAGTTACAGAGTTAGTGTAATTCCCTTAAGAGGAAAGCTATGAATTTTGTTTTGTTTTTAACATAAAAAAAGGTAGCCTAGATGCATTTAAAACTGTAAATGGTATGAAGAGATCTATTGATCTTCTGTTCATCCCTCATCTCTCTAGTCTATAACCTCATTTTTCTATCACCTACCACCTCTTTTATCAATAATCTCCCTTTTTTCAGTGTACATGTATGTATGTATGTATGTATGTATGTATGTATGTATCTATCTATCTATCTATCTATCTATCTATCTATCTATCTATCTATCTATCATCTTTTTATAATATAAAATCTGTCTTTTGTCTGTTGTTTATCCCAAAGATGTCTGCAGATTGTGGTCCTGTAGATGACAGCCCCAATATTGCTATCAAAGCTTAGCCTGTGTGTGTGTGTGTCTATATGTGTATTTTATGTACAAGACAGAAAAAGAACTGGAGCAGCCCCAATATTGCTATCAAAGCTTAGCCTGTGTGTATGTATTTTATGTACAAGACTTTTTTGATCATGCTCTGTGGATACCCTTGCACTTATCTCTATCATGCATCTATCTCTTATCTCTCTTTCCTTCCTTCCTTCCTTCCATCCCCTTATCACCCTATATATACCATCTACCTTTCAACTATCTCTTCCTATCATTTATCTTCTATCTAATGCATCCATTTCTCGGCTATTACATACCTATCACTTCACCTATCTACTATATATTTACCACCTATCTCTCTTTCATCTGTCTACCAGCTGTCTTATCGATCCTCGCCCACCCCCCACCCCCCCATTTATCTTCCAATGCGGTGCTCCTTGCAAACGTGCGAAGCTCAGCAGATCTCGTACGTTCTGCAGCTGGGCCGGGTTCCCTTTTCGGGACGGAGGATTCCTCGTTGATTTGGCGCCCCCAGTGGACAAGAAGGGTCGGTGCACCGGTGTCAACGAGGCGCCTTTTAAGTACTGTACAAGCAAGAATTCAAACGTGAGACACTGCGGCGCGCGTGCATGTCTCCCAGCGTCTTTGTGGGTGGATTTCCAGGGCCAGCGGTGCCAGACAAAATAATAAGGGTTTGTTTGGGGTAAAAGCTTGTTCAGGAAAAGGGTGGGTGGGAAAGGTCTGAGGTTTCTCGTCTATAAGGAACGGGCAAGGATAACTTGCCACATTCAATACGCTCTCTCGAAATAAAAGCATCCTTTTAAAAATTAAAAGTTCAGCTTCGGTTATTAAGGAGACTGCATTCCCTTGGGGGAGCTGGGATGCTGTTGCTTTTTTCTGGGCAATATTATAAGGGCGTGCTTTGGATTTTTTTTTAAAAAAAAAAACCTCTCCCTCCCCTCCCGGGATCGTTGCAACCCGGGCAGCCGCCGTGCCTGAGGAAAAGTGGCCGTCGAGGACGGAACTCCTTATAAGCCCTTTCAAAAATTGAGAGGTAATAATAATAACACGCGTGTGCGTGTCCGTGGCAACCTCAAAAGGCGGGTGGGCTGCTGCCGCTGAGGAAAAGCCCATCCTACTACGGTGCGGATTTTTTCGCTCCTCCGACTATAAATCATAACAGTGCTTCTGAGAATGAGTAGATGGGTGTTCCTTGCGTACTTATTATTATTATTATTACTATTAATTTATTAATCGCATGAAAGCTTTTTATTAACCCTTCGTGGGGACTCGCCCACGGAAGCGTGACCAGGTGGCGAATTTCTTCTCGGGATGCCCCGCTCTTGTTTTTAACGCGGCGTCCAAAACTGCATTTCTGAGGCAAAGTCGGGCGGGTCTTTGGCGCCAAATTGCTGCAGGTTTGCGATCTGAGGGAGGCTGCTGCTAAATGGCGCCGCTTTTTGTTTTGTGTTTTTTTTGAGGGGGGGGGATTATTATTACTGTTTTATTGATGTTCGGCGGCGGGGCTTTACCGCCTGAAAAAGAGGAAGGGGAAAGCCCTCTCTCGCCTGCCGATCATGGCGGCTGCCTTTTGCGCCCCCGCCCCGCGTCTCCCCCGAATTCCCGCTTCCGACGCAGCGCTCAGCCCTGCTGAGAATGACCTTCCCCACCGCCGCCAGGTTAGCCACGCGCGAGCCAGGCGCGCCCAGGAATTCCCGCCCTGCGCTCGTAAGCGCACCCCCCCTCCCCACTCCACCCCAAGTTCCACTGATGCATACCCAAATCCGCCTCCCCTTGATTGGCCGAAGCCAGGCTTTCATTTGAAAGAGCCGCCCCTCTCATTGGCTCCGACGCATGTAAATGAGAGAACCTTCCTTTCTCTGTGTGTGTATATGTGTGGAGTTTTTTTTTCCCGCTGCCCCCCCCCTTCCACCGTATCATCCTGTGATGAGAATTTTTCAGACAGTAACTCGCCGCGTCTCTTTACTATAAGCAAATAGTTCCTTCGCCCCCACCCGCCGTATTTACAATGGGGCGAGGTTCCGCAGTCCCGTCTTTGAGCTTAAAAGAGAGAGGGGCGGAGCCTTCTCGGACCTATTCGAAGCGGTGGGAGGGAGGGAGAGAAAGACGCGTACCCGCCGATTCCCTCCGGCGGAGGGATACGGACTTGGAGATCCGTGTCTGTGTTTTTTTTTCCTTTCCCCCACCAAAATATTGAGAGTTAAGAGGCCGCTGCTGCGTGCAACGGAGATCAGAAAGAGAGCGGTGCCAGTCGGAGGCTGAGCTGCTGCTGCTGTTCCTGCTGCTGCTGCCGCCGGCCGCTCCACAACGACCGCCTCACTGCGGCGCTACATCCCGGACTGGATTTTATCGATTCCTCGCATTTGCTCGCCTGGGTTTCTTTGCGCGACACGACCGACCGAAGACAGCCGGGGCTGGGGGCTGCTTGCTTGAAAAAAAAAGACCCGAAGCCCCTTCGTCCTCGCTTTTGCTTTGCGTTACCTATTTTTCCAAATAAAGATTGGCGTGTGGATTTTTTTTTTTCTTCCTTCTCCCCCTCCCTTAAGGACATCTATCCGTTTCCCTGGGATTCTCTGCTGGACTTGCAAGTTTCCTTTTGATCCGAAAAGTGTCGGCGGAGGAAGGAGAGAGAGACGAAGGGGGGCACGACCGAAGGAAGCGGCTTTGCGAGCGAGGCTTTTCTCCCTCCTTGCCGATCCGGGGGAAGGAGCTGCGCTGCCGGCCCCGTTCAGTTGCCCTCAACCGCAAGCTTCTCTTCCCCCCCCCCCCCCCGTTTGACTGAAGAAGCCTTTGCGCCGTGATTGTGGGTGGTTGTTGTCGGGGTGTCGTTTTTTTTTTTTCTTTTGCCCACCCCGCGTTTTGTGGTGTCGCTTGGAAAGATGTTACTCTCCAAATTTGGGTCCTTGGCTCATCTTTGCAACCCCACCAGCATGGATCACTTGCCGGTGAAGATCCTCCAGCCAGGTAAATAAATAAATAAATAAATAAATAAATCCCCCCCCCCAAGAGTTGCCGTTTCCCCTTCTCTCCCGCCTCTCTTGCGGGGGACGGCCGTGTGGCGTTGCGTGGTGTGTCTTGTGTGTGTGATGTGCGTGACGAGGTTCCCTCTCCCCCCCTTTTTTTTTTCCCGCGTCAGCCGTGGGCGAGGAGCGGTGGATCCCAGTGATCGACTTGAAGCCATTCATTCATTTTCTTTTTAAAATCTCTGCAGTTTGTTTAGAAGGAGGAGGGGGGTTTAGCTTGTTTCCCTGGTTATCCTAAGCCCGGGATAAGTAGGGCGGTGGGAGCGGAGTCTGTCGGGCAAATATTTTGTACTGGAAGATGAAGAAGGGGGGGGAAAAAAAGAATTAATTGGAAAGACGTGCTGGCAAAACCCCGGACGACCACGAGAGGGAGGTAGAGGCTTTACACGTTACTAGCGGTCAACAGCCCCGATTTTTACAGCCCCATCCATTAATTCCCAAATCTGGGCTTGGCGGCACTTTTTGGTCCAATGTTGCTGGCGACTTTAAAAAGAAATGCTGAGTAGGGGTGAGGAGTAAGATGCCCCTTCCCACCCTCCACCCCAGGTTGAGATTGGTTTGTCTGTCTTAACTGCTGTCCAGCCCCTGGATCCCTTCCTTGACGACTTCCCCTCCTTTCTCACCCTTCCTCACTTTCTCTTTTTTTTTTCTCTCTCCAGTGAAAGTGGAAAAGGAGCCGTTCGATAAAATCTATCAAGTGGGCTCAGTCTTGGGCAGTGGGGGATTTGGCACCGTCTATGCTGGGAACAGGATTGCAGATGGCTTGCCGGTAAGAGGAGGCTCTTGAGCAACACTCCCCCTTCTCCCTTCTCCACCCCAAACCACGAGGCTTGGGGTTGCTACCACCCACCCACCCAGTTTGCGTGGCTGGAAATTCCAGCTGTGGAATCCAGAGTGAGAAATCCCGGGGCAAGTTCTCTGATGCCGAGCAACAGGCAATCAGGCTTGGTTCTCTCCCCACCACCACCACCACCATTGCCCCCTGTCCCTCAATTCAATTCACAGAGTGGTTTCCCTATAAGACTGTAACCTCTCTTTTTTTCTCCCTGCTTCCAGGTAGCTGTAAAGCATGTCGTGAAGGAGCGGGTAACCGAGTGGGGCACAATTGTAAGTATCCAAGGATGGATCCCGATATGTATGCCTGCCTGCGCGTGGCTGCCTGCACCTTGCAGTAGTTTCCAACTGCTTTTTCCTCTCCCTGTATTAATAACAGAAGTCTGATGATTGTTTCCATGGATTCCCCTTTCCACCCCGCATGCTGCTGCCTCTCCATTCTCTGTTATTGTTTACATTGAGGTGGGGGGGATTTTGGCACTGTTTCTTCTCCTCCTCCTCTTCCCCCTCTGCCCTCCCCTTTTGACTGCGGCAGCAGAGACACCCAGTGGAGTAGCTGCAGCCTTCCCCATCGGTGTAGCTACTTAGCCCTCCCCCTTCCCGTCCTCCGCCTGGCTGCTGGAATTTCCATTTTGAGAAAGAACTGTATGATTTGTTTTCGGATGGGCAAGGAAGGGGATTTTCCCTCCTTCTTCCTCCCCTTCTCACTTCCCGATAATTTCAAATAATTCACCATGTCTTCCTTTTGCTCTTTCTCCCTCCGTCTCTCTCTCCCTCCTTCCCTACCCCTCCTCCTTGTAGGGTGGAGTAATGGTGCCCTTGGAAATAGTCCTGTTGAAGAAAGTGGGTTCGGGCTTCCGGGGTGTAATTAAGCTGCTCGACTGGTACGAGAGGCCTGATGGCTACCTGATCATCATGGAACGACCAGACCTGGTGAAGGATCTCTTTGACTTCATTACGGAGAAGGGGGCGCTGGATGAGGACACCGCACGGGGCTTCTTCCATCAAGTCCTGGAAGCAGTGCGCCACTGCTACAGCTGCGGGGTGGTACACAGAGACATCAAGGACGAGAATCTTCTAGTGGATCTCAGGACAGGAGAACTGAAGCTGATCGATTTTGGGTCTGGAGCCATCCTCAAGGACACAGTCTATACTGACTTTGATGGTACGCGCCCCTCCCAACCGCAGCCAAGTCCCTGTGTGTGTGGATGGGTGGGTGGATGAGTGCTTAATTGGGAAAGCATCCCGACACAACCCCCTCATTCTTAATCATATTCTCACCACCTACGGCTGACAAAATATATTTTTTGCTGCTGCAGTCAGTAGCAGGTTGATAATTAAATCCTTCGCAATGGAGGCAGCTGGAAGGTGGGTTCAAGTTGTTTAGGAAAGGAGCAATTCCAGGCAGTGACGCAGCAGTTTATATTTTTCCTGCCTTCAAAAAAAAAAAGGCATTTTCCTAGAGGGCGATGTGTTTACAGTTGAGTCAAGCTTGTGTTTTCCATCTGTGCTTTTCTTGGTGCTTCCCCCCTACTCTGCTGTCCCCCCCCCCCACACACACACCTAGTTTCCTCCTTTCCCAGCTCCTCATTTTCCTATGATGTTTTGGAAATCCCGCATTGCAGATTGAGGGGCCAGAGGGGGGAAACGTCTAAAAAAGAAGTTTTTCTTTTCCTTTCTTAAAATTTACACACTGAAACATAGGTTGCCTCCTTTTGTTATAAGAAATACAGTATCTCTTGTTTCTTGCCTAAGAAACGGCAAGATTTTCTTTCTTTCAAGGTGAAGGTGATCCATGTAAAGGAGGCGCCGTTTTCACCTCCCTTCCCTAGTCAGCTGCAGCATTTAACATCTGTTTGTTGTGAAACGAGAGTCTCCTGGCCATGTGACCTTCAGCATCACAAATTCCAGTTTTCATTTGGTATCCAAGTAACCACTCGGTGCAGAGGGAGGGCAGTTGCTAACTGCCTTCTTAATGCGCGAGGCAGATTTCACTCTTCTTTTAAAAGGTTACTCTTGAATTTCTCTTCTCTTTTTATTAAAAAAAAAAAAAAGGGAGCGGCATACTTTTCGAACTGGCCAGAACTGATTAGTCACATTTAGGAACCAAGGCTGGAGTTTCACCTTTTTTTTTTTTCCTTTCCTGCCTCTCTCCTTTCATCCCCTCTTCCTTTGTCCTTTTGTGTCTATTTTTGGTACGGTGCTGCAGACGCCACGTGGTCAAGGAAAGGGAGCTTTATGTTAGTAAACAGTCAGCTGATGGGAGGCTTGTGCTGCTCATCACCACAAAATAGAACGACCCCGAGGGCCGAGATTAAAACATGATATAATCCCAGGGGTGATGTAAGGTCCAGAATTTTCCCATATATGTTTGTAGGGCTGAGATTAAAACATGATATAATCCCAGGAGTGATAATAAAGTCCAGAATTTTCCCATATATGTTTGTGTGCTGTGGGGAGTTTTCTTTTTTTTTTTTAATGGGATTTTTGAAGTGGCAACATGTAAAATATGTTCCCAAGTGAAAGTTCATCTTGGCTAACAGATCAGGGGGCCTTGTCTTTTCTTCCTCACAGGGACACGAGTGTACAGCCCTCCAGAATGGATTCGCTATCACAGATACCATGGGCGATCGGCTACTGTATGGTCACTGGGTGTTTTGCTCTATGACATGGTCTGCGGAGACATCCCTTTTGAACAAGATGAAGAGATCTTGAGAGGACGCCTGTATTTCAGGAGACGAATTTCCCTGGGTGAGCCGAGATTTAACAGCATCTCCACGACCCCCGTTTTCTCCGCCCACTTTAACGAATTGTTTTTGGTGTCTCTGACCTGCTGTCTCTCTTGTCTTTCAGAATGCCAGCAATTGATCAAATGGTGCCTTTCTCTGAGGCCTTCAGACAGACCAACCCTTGAGCAAATTTTTGACCACCCGTGGTTGCACAAATCCGAAGTTGTGAAGTCGGAAGATTGTGACATAAGGTTACGGACCATTGGCACAGACGTGTCTCGCACAAGTTCAAGCAACGAGAGCCTGTGAAAATACTGAGGACCTTGTAAAGGGAGGGGAGCCACAAGGAGAAAAAAAGAGGGGGAGAGAAAAGACCAGAGTGCTGCTGCTGCTGCCAATATGTAGAAGGGGCTAGGGGGGGAAATGCATTAATTATTCTGTACTTTGAATCTTTGTCAGAGGGAATTGATTTTTTTTTTTAAATTTTCCCCTTATTGCTGGTTTCTGCTTCAGAATGAAATTTCCTTTGGAAACGCTAATATATGGGAGTTGGCAGGCCAGTACTTAACCCAAAAGACTGACCTTAATATAATTATTATTTTTTATTATTATTATTAAGAAAAGCAGTGACCTCTTTAAATAACATGGTAAAACCTTTTTGCTCTCATAGAGCCTGGACTAAATTTTATTTGCTTTTTTGAGTGCCTTTTTGAAAGCTGCTTCAGTGGGACTTTCTTTTTTGAGCTGTGTGTGTCCAAAGAAGAACCAGTACATTATAGAACCTGCCTTCCCTTCTCCATTCTAGGTGCTGGGGGAAGCAGCTCCCTATGATGCACTAGAAAACATGTTCAGTGACTGAATGAAGTAGTCCCATCAACTGATGATGGAATACTTGAACACAGACATTTCATCCTCTTCTTTCCTGGCCTTTCCCCCCCCCCCCCCCCCCCCCCGCAGACCCCAACAAGACAACCTCTGCTGATCCACACAATATTTCCATAGCCTGCATATCAGCTCTTTATCAGGAACATTTACCCATATTTCATTTCATCTCTACCACTGGGCACAAGAAAAAAAGGCCCTTTCTCAGTTCCCCCAACCTCCAAGTCTTAAAAAAAAAAGTATGAGTGGGCATGTTAAATGCACAATCAATGCAATATTCAAGGACTGTGTGCGTGTGGGTTTTTTTTTTTCTTTTCTTTTCCCATTATCTGTATAATGTGTTTATGTAAATTTTTCCCCTGTACTATAAGTTTTTATTTATTGTCTGGAGTTTAGAAAACCTCTCACAGACTTCAGCTGTGGCTATTTATTTTAGCTAATTTATTTTGTTTAGAATTATGCAACACTGCTTTTATCTCTCTTCTGTTGTGGAGATTTCTCTGGGATCAGTCGACAATTATTTTTGCATTCCTGTCTTTTACTCTTTTGGGGGTAGGGGTGGGTTGTTGACAAAGAAATATATAAAGCCTGACCATACCTGTTCTTTTTTTCCTTCATTTTTGGTTGGAAGATAGAAAAATGTTGTACAAAGTCTAATTTAAGGGAATTAGAATGACTTTAAAAGTTAGTATGCCTTTTTTGTCTGGTATTATTGACATACCAGAACTGTAAAGTAATGCTGTTTTTGAAGGGTTTTAAATTATTGACATTGTACAGTCTTTGTGCATTGGCTCTGGAAGGAAGAGTGGCAGAGTCATAAACCTTAATTTATTTTAATAGATGTGTGTTCTGTGATCTGGTTGCACTTATGCAGCTTGGATTTGGATTTTTTTTTTTCCTTCTGCTTAACAGTGTGAAATGTATGGAGATCATATTTTTTTATACAGGTATTTCAATTAAACTTTTTTGTAGATAAGTGGCATGATGTGTTCATTTGAGTTCAACAGTGGCACCTCAGAGGAAGCGCCTTGATACATTTGTACAGATTCTACACACAAGTTCCACAAATGTCAGTAGCAATTTGAATAGAGGACTGCAATCTTCACGCATCGTCCACAGATAGAAATGATCCTCAATTATCAGGATTGGCTAGTGGAGAAATTCCCCCATCTATGGAGTTGGTTAATACATTTAAAAGTTTTCAGAGAACATCACAGATACTCTTGACAATGAGGTTGCCATAGTGAAAGTGACAAGTATGAAGTACACATCCCCTTGAGCTCCACTAGTTTCCCTTCGCCTTTTCTGGGTAGGTGCTCCACTTTCAAACAATGTACTGAAACGTGGGCGCCTATCAGCTTGTCTTCCAAGAATGCTTTTGGGGTCTGCTTGAAGTCCAAGAGATGTTTTGAGAGCTGCAGTTTCCCCTTGTGGCTGCTACTTTCCAAAGTTCAGGAGGCCTGTTTTTGAAATTAAAAATTTGAAATGTGTGCCATGGAGCTTGGTGGGAAGGACTCCCAATGGAGGAATCGAGTCAGGATGGTCACAACTGCAAAACTGAAACGGCCACCACCAAGGATTTGCCTGTGTCATGTACAAAAGGGTTTTTAGACATGCAGTTGTGGCTGCCATGTTGACTTTTCACAATCTCCCCCCACCCCCGCCAGATGGTTCCCTCTGCCAGTGGTGAAGGAGGTATCACACGGAACTCCATCGTTGCCTATATTGGAGACTTGGAATAAAATATAAGCTCATGGGGATATTGCTGACAACTGCAGGTTATCCAACTCATTCATCCATGGCTTGTAACCATTTATGAGGTCCTCATTCGTTCACTTAAGGTGAACAGATTTGGGCAACTTACAAAGTAGTCCCTGTACTAATACACATGCACTGTATGTCGTAAAAAAGGGGGTGGAGCTTTTATTGACCAATCGGTGTCTGCCATTTTGGTGCTGCTGACCCACCCAGTATGAAACTCCTGCAAATACCACATTTGTAATTCCAAATACTCCAGTTTTGGATCTTAAATGCCTTTTCTCATTCTCTAGCCCTCCAGGTGATGATGAGGCGCCAGGTTGGGGAATGCTCCAGAGGCAAAATTATACATGATAGACCTGTTTTGACACAGGACTCTCATATTTTCCTTAGCTATGTTTGCACAACATGCTAAGCCAGAAAGTCTGGCGAGCACGCAGGTGCCTTAATTTTATCCTGTACGACATGCAGCTCTTTAATCAACAACTTAGGTTTACCAGGTTGTCCGATCCCCAAAAAACCTTCCATATTAGAATTGCACACTTGAGAATATGAAACCTACAGCAAACCGAACTTCCGTCTCAAACTTTTCAAACTTCCATCTCAAACTTCATATACCAGTGATGGCTAACCTTTTCCGGACAGAGTGCCCAAAGCGCACGTGCGAGCAAACCTCCAAAACGCAATGAGTGTGCAGCCCCCGCACATGCGCCCCATCCCTGTGTATGTGCCCCATCCCTATACATGCACCCCGCCCCAGCACATGCATGCGTGCCCCGCCCCACACCCCTCACCTGTGCATGCGGGCGCAACCCCCCGCACGCACTCCACCCCACCCACACCCCGCATGCGAAGCAGAGACCCAACGACCAGCCGGCTAGCGGGAGGCACACGAGCATGCGCAGCAGAGCTGAACTGGGGCGACGGCTCGCCCACAGAGAAGGTGCTGCATGCCACCTGTGGCACGCATGCCATAGGTTCACCATCATGGTCATATACCATTGTAAGTTAAAGTCTGTTTAAAGTCTTGAGGTAGAGGCAGATAAAACAACGTGCAGACTTTTGTGAGCAGACTTTCCGATTTTCTGTTCTCATCCATTCATTCATCTGCCAGTGTTTTGGTTTTTTGGTTTTTTTACCACTCTGATCTGATTCTAAGCAATATACACACATGCCAGGATTCTTCCCAATAGCAGTAGCCTCATATATAACAAGGTTGGGTTTGAAGCATCTTCTCCAGAAAGACTACCTTTCATAACACAACGAATTTCCTTACTTGAACGAAAATCCAGATGAGGACTGCTAATCTGCATTCTGAAGCCGATGGGGCCAGATCTTGTTATTTTTGCCTCCTTCAAGTGGCTCTTAGGAGGTGTTCATAGCACTGTACTGCGTAACCTCCTCTCATGTTGGAAACTCTCTTCAGTAGCTACAAAGAGCACCTTACTTAATTTAGCATGGCTAATGCATCAGGACTGCTGTGGCTTTACAAGGCGTGCATACTTTTCTATTGTGAAAATAGCATGACCCAAGAAGATTCTGGTATCATGGAGCAATTACAAGGAAAGGAGGCTGGATATAACAGAAGATTACCCTAAACATCTGCTCTGTTAACAGTACTTCAAAATCCAATATTAGAATTCCTGCTTCCATATGATACAACGGTAAACCACTAAAAAATGGAAAGTTGCTAACTTCTAGCTCAATGGATTTTCAGTCTCCCTATTTAAAATAATCCCCCTTGGACAAAATTATAGGAACAAGAAGTTTGACATGGTTTTATTTTATTTTTATTTTTTTGCAGTTTCTTCCTTTCATCTGAACAAGTTTCTTCATTATCCATCTCTCGATCTTTCTATCAATCCATCATAAAGACAGGGATGTGGTGCCCTAGGTAAAATTGGGACAAACATGTTCACTCTCAGTCCGCCGCTTGAATCTCACAGGAGCTCTGTTAGAAAGAAAACCAATGTTGTAATGCTTGCATTAAGTTTTTCTAGGCCAGTATTAAATTACACTACAGGTCATTTGGCACAGGAACTGACCTCCATGTGTATAAATTGATAGCGTTGTTACTCCCAACTTTTCAAAACATGAGCATCCTTCTAAAAGCCATCTTCTCAATCTCAACCTGAAGAGTTCATATAAATAAGTCTTTTAGGTAGCATCTGTTGTACTTGGGGATATGCAATGAAGTTCTTTTGTTCATTTTTTTTTTTAAAAAAAAACAAAGATATTACCATCTCTTCCATTGGGTCTGTGAGGCTCTTTATTGGTCGCAGTTTCAGTGTACGTCATAAAACCGGCCAAATCAGACAAATACAGCTTTAAACACTGTGTCCTATTGAAGCTTTAAAGTTGGGAGAGATGGGGAAAATGAAGATCATGGACTGTCCTGGCCAATAATCTTTACCTGATAAAACAGAGTGTGGAGATCTTTGGGAATAGGAAAATACTTCTTATAACTTAGAACGTTATCCATGCATACCTATCTGACAGTAAGATGGAATCTAATACTGTGTACTAGAAAACAGGAATGGTGGCATAGCAAACCTCTCAAAAGGAACTCTCCCTAGTTTCTTGGGCTGTAAAGGCAAAGGTGGGGTGGGGGGTGTACTTTCAGATTTCTATGAATGTCATTTTACAATAAAGCACATTTAGTCCATCTAGTCATGCTTCCTGTTTGGACTACCCCAAAATAGTGGTCTGACACTAACCTAGCAATGAAAGCCAAATAGTTTTGCTAATATCTTACATATCATATGTTGTTTCTGTAAAACTGTTCATTTCACTTATTAATGTTCATGTTACTTAGCATTATACTAATTCAATGGCTTGCTTCATATATTAAAAGGTAAAGGTAAAGGTTCCCCTCACACATATGTGCTAGTTGTTCCCGACTCTAGGGGACCTTGCTTATCTCCGTTTCAAAGTCGAAGAGCCAGTGTTTCTGAAGACGTCTCCGTGGTCATGTGGCCAGCATGACTAAACGCCAAAGGCGCACGGAATGCTGTTACCTTCCCAACAAAGGTGGTACCTATTTTTCTACTTGCATTTTTTAGGTGCTTTCAAAATGCTAGGTTGGCAGAAGCTGGGACAAGTAATGGGAGCTCACCCCGTTACGCGGCACTAGGGATTCGAACTGCTGAACTGCCGACCTTTCCATTGACAAGCTCAACGTCTTACCCATGGAGCCACTATATATTATTATATTAGGTTAAGCATAAATATCCAGTACATTGGTGCTGTACTCCAACATCATCACACAAGTAACATAGATTATAAGTAATTGGGATTATTAGCAGAAAGACATTGTGGCATTTTGTGCCTGGTTTTGCTCACTAAGCCATGAACCATCAAATCACATCACACTGCTAGCCAGTCAACATCTTTTGGCTGACGTTCTCCATCATATAAAATTGTTCCTTGAGGGTCTAGTTTAGATAAAGTAGCAGTTACTTTGTGCATAAGTAAAGATCTGCATCCGCCCAAAGTATTTTACTTTTAACAATTAAAATCAAATGCTTAAAATAATTGATTCCGAATGGTGTGTACAATTTTGTCTCAAATCTGCAATGAAATACGACTGGGGCTTTTGCTAACTTTCCTTGAAAGAACCATTTCCCCCAAAACATATGTCCATCTCTTCATGCTATTTCCCCCTTATTTAATCAGATTAATCTGTCAAACGAAGCGACGGGGAGGCCTTTCAAAGCTACTGCAGCACAGTAGCTTCATTTCCACCAAAGCATAACCAGGTATCTCCTTCCAAGTGGTAGTTTAGCGACCTCTGTTGGTACAATGGCAACACACAGTCTTCATAAGCAGAGATGCTTTTTTGGCACTGTTGACAGGTGTCTCTAAGAATGGGAGGGAAAAAGAAAAAGACATAGACAGGCTCTGAAATGTTCCACTAGGCAAAAAAGGATTCCATTATAAATAAATCATGACAACAGCACTGTGTTATTTCTTCTAGAAGCTCACAAGACAAGAGGGAACCTGTGTGTACACCATCAATTTACCTGTTATTACTCAGTCCTAAATCTCTCTCTCTCTCTTTTTTTTTTTTTGCATTAAAATCAATACTAATACTAACAATACAATTGCCCGGTTTGTGGGGGCAATAAGCTGACTTTGTATAAAATAGAACACTGCTCAGGGGGCCCCAAAAAGCCCTACTAAGCAGGTATATACAAAAGTATGAAGGCTATTGCTTAA